AAGAAAGGTTAAGGAAGCTTCATAAATAATGTAGTGTTAATGAGAAATGTACAGCTTAAGTTTCATGTTCTGTTTTGGGCATTTGTAGGTAAATGACTAGTATGATCATTTTCCTTATAGTAACAAAATATGTAAAAAGTTAGTTATGTACGAGCTTTTATTTCCGTTAACTTGATTTCCTAGGGTAGGGAGTCTTGCCACATTTTGTTGCCTAAAAAGTGTTGTGCTCAAATGTCTGTTCTCTAGAGAGTTTAGAATATGTGGGGACAGCCCTTCTAGACTTTAGATGTGTTTAGTTGCTGTACGCTGGATCATGAACCTAAATACCTTTGAAGAGTTAACTGTAGCCTTATTTACTGAGAGATATCCTGTTCTCTGGGTTGATTCACTATCTTTCTAGTAGAAAGTTATTGTCAACATATTGCACCAATTATTGGATGACAAATAAAGTATCCCAATAACTGTTGTAATTAGGAAAAGACATCTTTGAATTCTTTGATCTTATCTTCAATGCCCTTTGTTGACTTTTTTTTTTCTTTTTAAGCATGTTAAAAGCAAACAGTGAGAAACATGTTCTGTGAGGTTCTAAATAGAACAAAATAGACTACAAAATTATTTCAGTATCACAGCATTAGCATTTTTTTCAAGTCACTGTTAGCAAAAAAAAATTAACACTTCAGGTTTAGGGGTCCAAATCTTGCAAATTATTTCACATAAACCACTGTCAGAGATTTTGATCAAGTTTAAAATTACCAGTGTACCAATTTTTGTTTTTCATATTAACTTATATCAATTTCATTCACCATCAAATAAAAAAGTGACTGAGCAAAACCTATTTTGGTGCTAGAGCTGATTATAGCTTACCTAAGCTGCCTCCTTTTCACTTACAACAGGACAGTGATTCCTGATGCACGTGGTAGATAAGCTTCAGAGGCATCTCTTCATTAGTGAAGACAAGAAATCTATTCAGGTTTTTGAATTTTTGGGTTTTGTAGAACACAGAGGCCACACCTGAATAAAGCAATTTTTAGCAAATGGTGATAAATGCCAAGATGAGCTTGAGTAAAGTCTGTGTCTCTGAAGGATGCTTCCTCTGTATCTCTCTTGCTTTCAGTTGTTCTGTTGTATTTACATACACATTCACAATAGATGTTAAATGCTAAAAGGTTTCCTTCCTCTCTTTTCTGTCTGTCTGTCTATCTATCTATCTATCTATCTATCTATCTACCCATAAAGACAAAAAATCTGATTTTTTTTGTTATATCTTTTTATTTCCAAGAAACTGTATCTTTTGAATGTTGAAATAGCCCTAGATTTTCATTGTAGTTATTTGAATGGAAATTATTTCATGAAATTTTTTTGTGCATAAGCCAACATGTTCTGTGTTAATGTTAGAGTACTAATAAAGTATATTGACCTGTGTTAAGCCACAGTAAAAAAAAATCTTGATTTCATACATAATATATTAATCTATTTCTCATGATCAGCTGTTTCTAGGTATCAATTTTTCATATTATTTTATTTTGCTATCATGTAATAAGTTACAGTGAAAGACAAATCATAGTTCTACCTTGAAGCAATTTTTCAAGGTCATATAGCAGTAAAGAATAGGAATCTATTAAATCTTTTTCCAAATTCTTGAGCTTTGACTTTGACGCTAGCTTGTTCTCCTTTTACCTTCTATGTGTGACTACTACAAAAGATAATGAATGTGTACCGAAAACAGCAAAATGATATATTAGCAAAAGCTTAAGTGTCATACATTATCTTTGAGGAGACAGAGGACAGAAGAGGAGAAAGGAAGAGAAATGGGGACACAAAATGTTTAACTAAACTGTTTAAAAGAAGTCATTTTTTTTCACTGCTTGAATCTTCACATTGTCCTTGGTAGCAAATATATAGTACTTTCTCATCCCTGTAGTTGTATTCAATATGTCACAATAAAAATCTACTAGAAATCTACTAGAAATTAACATATGAACAGATATTCAGACATAGACTATATCACACATAGAAATGGTAACCACATCAGTAGATTAGATGTCATATGAGATTTCCATTCAGGGGTTCATCACACACAAACACAGAAAAAAACCTTTTGAGGAATGGCAAGCTACATACTAAGCTTGCCACTTACATTTTTAATCTTTCTGATGAGACTAGGCCAAGTACTTTAGAATGTTGGAAGATATTTTTCCACTTTATGGAAACATTATTACCTCGGAGGAAATTATATTTCAATAGCATCTGGTAAAATGGTATTTTTCACATCATTAGGTCATGTATGAAACAATACAAATACCAGGTGCTCTTAATTTCTGTCTTTTTTATTTCTACCTTTCCTTTCTTGTAAGTAAAATCTCAAGAAACAGCAAAGCAACAGACTGCGGAACAGGAAAATCTTGGTTGTACCTGTAGTTGACATAAATAAAGATACAGATGGTCACAAAGTCATTTTAAAAATGAAGTGTCATAATTTGATTTTGGTAGCATGAAAATTCTATATGTCCTTTTTTATAGGGAGGAAGAGCTATATTTAACATGTGCACAGGTATCAGAAATGAACTTTGTCAGCAAGGGTACTGTTTGCTTCAGGAAGGTTATACCAAGCTGGTAGAAAATAGCTTATACTATTAAAAAATATTTTACCAAGATATTTGTATTACCATACCATAAAAAGAAGGGGATTACAGCTCTTAGAAAAGGAAAGAACAATAAGAGATTGTGCAAAAAGAAAGAGCATCCTGATCAATTTGGCAGTCTTGCTTTGATTCTGTCAGTGGTCGTTTATCAGTCTCTCCTAACAATGTATAAATCTTGATGCCTCTTGAAAGTCATCTTGTTGATACTTCAACATGATCAGGATTTCACATATCATCTAGGTGAATCAGTAAACACTTCATGTAATTTTGACAGTGTGATAATAATAAAGGATGTTTTGATGATTAAGTTACTATGAGGACATTAAAATTCAGACTGATCATTCTTGTCAGACTTAAATGGTCTATAATACCTGGCTAGATGTCATACATGTTCATAAATGAGTAGCTGGTCTTGATGACAGGAAAATATATTATTAAAAGTCAGAGCACATAGAGACATTTTGAATTCATGATGTTTTACTATTTGTAAGTTTTCCCTCTTTTTCCATGCCTCAAGAATATATTATAATTAATTACGCTGAAATTGCTCAGTAAAGAACCTCAACAATTCTAAAATCTAAGCTAAGTGTGTAAACACTACTGAGAGAAGAGGGGAGGCAAGGGAAAGGAGAAGAAGAAAGAAAAAGAAAAAAAGAAGGATGGGAAATATTTTGTTATTGATGTATGCTGATGCATGTAGAGTTAATAGGATAAAATAATAATAAGGACATCTTGAATTTTAAGAGAAATTTCTATGAATGACAGTCACACCTGCCTTTCAAAACAATGTAAAGAACAACATGCAAATAAGAATCAATAACACATTATTTTTGAATACTTTGGAGAATGGGAATTTTCATATAATTATCTTGAAATTTCTCAAATCCTGCAGTGATTGTATCAGCCCAGCCACAGAAATTATTAGACTCAGGAAGACCCTGTGTTATAGATGGATGGGAATATAACTTAATACAGTAAATATACTAAATTTAATAAATTCATTCTTTTAAATAAAAAATATATGTAGATCAGAATGTCCACTGCCTACAACAATGTAGCTCTTTTGGATTTCATAGGTTTTACACAGGTCAAAGCTGTCTTGCCTTAAATCTTCACAGTGTAATATTTTTAGTAGCTCTCTTAAAGACATAAACTTTTAAAGGGGCTTTGAAATCTCAGTTTAAAAAAGACTTTTCAGTTGTTATAAAGGAGAAGGAAACAGATGATGGCATTTCACTATATGTTAGAAGTTGATGCAAAGTTTGAGAGGTTTTTAAGTAGGAATTGTGACCTGTAGGTCATACTGGAATTTTTAGAAAGATCAGGTAATAAATAAAATGGAAATTCTTTTAAAACAGCTTTTCTAATTAATTAGCTCAATAATTCTGAAATTTTTCTTGGATAGAAAATGTATTTCTTATATTTTCCATTATTTGTTCAGTAAAATATAATTTATAACCTCACACTATCTATCACAAATAACAGTAAAAGACGAATTTGAATCAGAATATGATCCATGAAAATCCATATATGAGTTAAGTTACAGAGAGCAGTATGTAGTGAATGTATTTTGTATACCATATGTATGTAGTATAGTAACATCTGTCACCAAATATGTGGAATTTCTCTTTCTCTCTTACTGCAATAATATGTTAATAGGTAAGCATACTTAATGTAAAAAAAAAAAAAAAAAGTAATAAAATGCTGGATTACTTTAGAACTGTGCAACAGTAAACAAATATAATAATGAGTTTGGATAGTGTTAAATAGACAGAAACATATTTTTTTCCCACAGAAATCACATACATACACAAAAATAAATTAGTTTCATAACAAAGGACCTTTTTCTTTTCATTGTTTATTTTTTGATGTTGTTATTGTTGCTGTTGCTGTTGTTGTTGTTTTTCCCTCTCCAGGCATATAAAGTAGAAAAGTAAGAGAATTGGGTTGCTTACTCTAAACCAGATTTAAGTCTCCTTTGAGTGCTGTATGCTAAAATCATCATTGCTGACTTGCTGACTTCCAGATTAAGGAATTATCTTCCCACAAACAAAAAGAAGAATTAAAATTGTTCTTTTCAAACCTTGCTGAGTTACTGTTTGCTTAACTATATCTCATTCTCATTGAACTACAAACACATGGATCACTCTCCATTTTTTTCTTTTTTTTCTTTTTTTTTTTTTTTTTTTTGTTTCTTTGTTATTTTTTATTGAAAAATCTTACACATATGACGAAAAGTCATGGGCAATATCTTTCAGTTCCATTACAAAATCTGTCATATATATATACGTATATATATATATATATATATATTTAGTACAACTAAAAGCAAATCTACTGAATTGTGTGAATCAATGATTGTCTACCAAAATGTAATTCAAAATTAAATATCTACGTTGCAGATTATTAAAATTATTTTGCTTTTCTCTGATGAAGCTGAAGGCCATTTTCACATAGTTAACTGATACTGCTGGGATACAAAAATTCCAAAACCTTGATTTCCCTTTTCCCAGCCTTGTGTCACTCATATATCAGAATTTTAGTACAATAATCTTTCTCTCAGAAAGAATTACTTTTAGAGTGAGCATCATTCTTTGAGGAGTACCTCCTGTTCACAAATAAAATTCTACAAACAGTTCTGAATACCTCTCAGTAATTGCTGGCAAGTCAAATCATTGCAAGTTAGGTATAAGCGAAAGATTTTGCAGGAGCAGAGTCTAACTTAGGAATTCATCTACAGATTACCTAAAACAAAACAATCTGAAAGAATACTTAAAAACACTAGTTTACTGGTATATATGCCTTATTATCTAATAATAAATCATGAAAGATGAAGTATAAATAGTCAGAATCATAAAAAAGTTATCTTATTCTAAGAAATCCTACTTAAAATGATACAGTATTTTAACCAACAGCAGTTATTCTTCTGTTTTGGCACTCCTGAAACATTGTAGAAATTATGTGTACTGAGACAACACTTTTGGGGAAAATACATGTGTGCAGAAAGATCTAAAGGTGGCTTCTGGAGTTAATAGTATTACATTGCTTAACATAAGAAAGAAATTTAAAAGTCTTTTACTGTGATTCATCAGCAGCAAAAGATAAACGGAGGGAGAAAAGCAGTCTTTGAAGCATTTAGGATGTTTGACCTTGAAATTAAATCTTGCTTTAATAACACTCCCAGCAACCTCTGTAGTCTTCTTTCCAAAAATGCAAGATACAAATATTTTATTTAAATGTTTCAGACTTTGTAATGGCTCAGAAGAACAACTGCATGTCCTTGTAGCTGCTCTCCTTTCTGAGAGATGAATGGTGGGCTCAATTTCTTTACTGTAATTTCTCCATTTCCATGCTTCATTTCCTACATTTATCTGAGACTGGAGAAAAATCAGCATGTTCTGACAAGTCTAATACTGTGAGGCAGTCAAATGGACCTGGATTTAGTGGAGATTAGAGCTCCAAAATAAATATAATGCTTTATGTCAAATAATAATAAAAAAGGATAAATTCTCCTGTACAAATCAGAAGAGATAATAAAAAATAACAAATAGATAGCAACACCTTAAATATACCTACATAAGCATCACAAAACTTTTCAACCTTAAGGACATCCCTCCATATTTCTCATTTTATGTGGTTTATAAAATACTCCAGTATGTTGATGACAAATTTGGAATTTCTTAAAATAAATTGCAATTTTATTTTTCATAAATCTACCCCAAAATTTATGGAGATTTCCCACTAAATTGATTCGAAAAAAAAACAGGGACAAACAAAAATGATCAGCATTTTTGTTTCTTTTCATGTCTGTCTTCTGCTTTTAGCTTAGGAAGCTGTATACAACATTGTAATGAAAATTTGCTAGAAAGTTTTCATTTGCAAATCCTGTATATTGTACTGTACTGGAATATGTAATTTAAAAAAACAATTCCTGCTTTTAATACATCTACCATCAACTTTGTGTTCTAGACATAGCAATACTGTGAAGGCATCTGCAGAGTGTAATTGACTCATTGAGGTCACAGTGCATAGACTCTTGAAAGTGAGTTGCCTCTGCAGGTTTGTAAGGGTTGCTATCAATTTGAATGTGTCTGAGCATTTCATTTTATTAAAAATGATATCAAATGCTTATATACTTTGTGGTCAGTGCAGTCTCTAGGACAAGTCTAATGCGGGTATGCTCCACCAAGGCAAAAAAAGAACCTAAAAAATTAAAAATGGAGAAGTATTTACAACTTTCTTCTGTCTGTAAGGTTGAGATATTTTGTTTTAGTATTTCTCAGTGCATTTTCAGAGAAAGATTCCAAGGCTATGAGTATAAACAGTCTGGACCACTTCCATACATATCTGCAAGCCTTTTAAAGCGAGGGCCCCAGTCACTGAGGTAATCATAGTTCTGGTCAGAGTTTGAGCTTATTGAATCTAATGAGCTGAGTGACTCTGCCACCGAGCCATTCCCCTCAAATGCATATGTCTGCAGGGAATCATAGGGTGGTGCACAAGGGTCCACGTCAGCTTCTTTTAGTCTCTCCCAGATAAATTCCCTAAAAATTACATTATCTGGGATGCTTTTAAAAGTCGGTCTGCTCAAGAACTGAATCTCAGGTGTCACATCCCTCCTGGTCTTGGTGTCTCGGATGATGTTGAGGTTTCTTAAGGCAGCCATGTCAAAAGCTTCAGTGTCTTCTTCTCCACCACCCTCATCATCATATCTGACAATATTTTCTCTGATATCTCTCTCTTCATCAAAAATGAGGGGCTCTTTTTTCCGTCGCCTCATGGTGACAATCAGCAAGACAAGAACTGGAATGCAAAAAGATTGAAGCTTTAGAAATGTTAAAGTCTGCTCATATTTTTCATAGGGGTGGAAGCACTCATTAATTTATATGGTAAAGACACAAGGAAATTGCAGACAATTTATGTAGTTAGACTTAAAATCTAGCAGATTCTAAAGTGGCTTTTAAACCATGAGCTTTTCACTTGTTAAAGAATTTATTTCCAAAGCCAATCTGAATTAATGTCTTCATTTCTACTTCTATATCCTACATTATCTGCTAAACATAAATTTCAGGACTGATTCAGTCTCAGTATACAATCTCACAGCCATGACATAAAAAAGGGACCTTTTCTTGTACTCTTAATTGCCTAAGCAGTAAAAGCACATTCATAAAGTAACTGAATAGAATTTAACAACCACACTTTGGGAAGTGCCTGAATTAAAGTATATGGCCAATCTCTTTCTCTTCTGGGAGAAAAAAACAAACAAACAAACAACAAAACACCCCAAAATAAAAGCCATGTTAAGTCATGTGTAACTTAAGACTTTTACAGACATAAATTAAAAGAATCTTTAGGTAAGACTGTACTTTCCTTTTAAGTCCAAAGCACTGTACTTCAGGTATATGAATTATTTCTAACGAGAACTGTCAGCACTGGATTTTACTGGATCAGCTAGCATAAGAAAAGGTGATTATTTTTAATTCTACTCTTTAATATTTCCTTTAGCTCAGAAGTTAATGTTAAACTATGGTGACACCCAAAAATACTGTGAGAAACAAAGTCAAGATTTCCCTTTTTCAAGCACAGATTTGGTAAAGAAGAGTCATTAATGGTACACAAAACCTGGAAGCCAGTATATTTCACCCATATGTAGGACATGAATCATCTTCCTACAAAACAATATTATCTTGTAGCATCAGGATAACATTTGTTGAGATAATGATACTTCTAGAAAAGAGAAGGCATTGCTATGATTGTAAAAATATTAGTAACTCCAACACTAAGCATAATTCCACATTCAATTGATCCATTCAGATTTACTGCTTATTTTTAAACTTAAGAATATATTGCTATATGCATTCACATATCTTAGTTTTTACATCTATTCTTTGAGTACTTTGATATGACTACTAAATGCTTCATAAACTTGTGGAAAATAAAAACCTCGTTTAGATAAAATCAAATATTAATTTCTCTTGGCAGTCTCAAAAGCATCCTCTATAAATTGTACATAGGTTGCTCTGAAAGTAATACCTCTTATTTAGTTCCAGGGAAACAACAACAGATGAACCGCACCACCCATCACCTCACTGTGCTCTTATTCACTTTTTAGTCTCCATAAATGTTCAGCAAGCATTTATGAATATCCATGGGTGCTGTTTTTTCCACATGGAGGAATTCAGTGACACATCTTTTCTTTATATGCACTTCCATGTCAGATGCCATTCTATCAGAACGCCCTTCTGCTGCCATCTGTCACATGGCAACAAAATGTAATGAAATATTGGTGGGAAGATTCAACCTTTACTGTCATACAACCAACATCCACTTCTGATGTTGTGGGCCAACATCATAACATAGGAGGCTTTACTTTCAGAGCAACCCTTATATAATATAGGACACTCTTGAAAGCGTTTCTTTTAATGCAAGAATTTTTAAAAGCAGTATCAATCCAGGCTCTTTCACTTTTAGCCTCTTGGCATCTCCCTGAATCCTGTCTTGTCTATTGAATTCATACACCACTGGTTTAGGGCACTTTGTTTCAATAACATTTACATAAGCAGTTTGAAAATGTAGGACTTTGACCTTTAAAGTGCTTTTTATGAAATTTCAAAATATTCTGATATTTGCAAAATAAAAATTGAGTAGTAGATATAACAGATAGCAGTATTATCCTCATATCAAAGTTATCAGAAAACAGTTGCACTGCACTCTTTCAGTTTTTTCCTATTATAAAAGATATTTTTAAGTGAAAGACAAATTAGTTTGCTGACAGCGCTAATACACATTTAAGTCAAAATTGCTATCAACATATTTTTGAGTATTTTTAATATTTACTGCTACAATTATTATTGCCGTGTATGTAAGCAGATAATCATTTTCTTTAATCAAGTGTAAATGTTTTTCGACTACTGTCATCCTTAACAGTGTTCATTTTGAAAGTTAAATAACTGTTAATAAGTGAAAAAATATGAAGCCCTGTAGGCAAGTCCACCTGAAGGTGCAATAAAAATCAAGATGCAATGAATGTTTTATGCAGTATTCCTTGTACATCACACACTTGCTTGAAGCCAAGAGAAACCTGGAGTCCTTCTAGAGGTTAAATCTTTTAGCATTCAGATGGCTTTATGAGATTATTAATTTCTAGTCCTTCTGACAACTATGAACAATAATGTTTAACCTCTCAATGAACAAAGTTTTTAGTTGTAGCAACTGCAGAGATGAATACAAATACAAAACAAATTTTACCTATATCTAAATCAGGTGAAAATTATTTTAAAACTGATCAATTTCTCACAAAGTGATGGATTTTTCTCCTATATTTATTGCAAAGCAGAGGTAAGACAGTAATTAGTGACTGGCTGAACATCTAGAAAAAAATGATTTTAGGCTCTTCAGAGAAAAAATAAAACATAGGAGAAATGTTCTAGGGACATGTGTATTGCCTTTCACTCTATACTAACACACTGAATGGATTCTAAAGAGATGCCAGGACTTTGTGAGTGGTTTGACAAATAAATTGATAACCGATATTAGAGGTAACTAAGGATTAAGACTGAATAACTAGAACTAATTGATATACATCTAAACTAACTTTTTTTGTCTGATTTACCTGAACTGGTAAAAAATGTTGATTTTGTTTAACTGGTAAAACAGTCAAGAAAACTTGTCATTTGCCTTTATGTGACCAAATGTAATTTTATTTTTGTGTTTGCACAACTGTAATCATAGCATCGATAGTGTCAGTTAAGCTAGATCAGTTTTTAAAATAATATTGAATGAAGGAAGAGATTTTTGCTTTGACATGTTGCAAGTTGTTTAATGGAACAATTTTGAAGTTTCCAATTTAGTGTGATCTAGTGAAAAATTGGGTTTACGTTACCCATGCATACTTCTCTGTTTCTGTCCTTTGTACTTAAGGAAACTGCAGCATAATTATAAAGAAGATGTAATAGCTCCGATACAACCTGAAGACGCCTACATGCAGAGCTGTACAGAAAGTGATAGACCTAAATCACAAGCATTATAAGGCCCCGTACACACTACACATCTAGTCTGGCATTCACTATAACAATAAGCCACCACAGCTGCAAGTGAACATGCACAGTGTTCACTTGCCTTAGCTGTATCATGAGTCGTAAAGCCAAAGACAAAAATATTTTACTCATCTAACCACCACACTAATAACCTATTTAATTATATACTGCAGTTACTAATACAGTCAGATGAGATCTAGGAAAGAAGAGGCCATGGCTTAGGAAATCCGTATTTAATTCCCAGTTAATAAGCTTCATGTATAGCAGTTGCTGAATCAATTTGGATTGCTATTTGCAAAGCAACTGTGGCTCCTGATTGCCCAGACTTGTTGACCTTAGTAAGGTGTATCATCTTCAGAAAACAAGTTCTGCACTGCATATTCAGCCATCTTTTACATGACTTAATTCAAATTACCTCCAGATTGAAACAGTTATTGATTTATCAGTTCTCCAACTGTAAGACAAAGAGACATACATATTAAACTGTTCCATTCTTTACCCATTTTATTCATTTAAAGAGTAAGTTCCTTATGACCTGGACTGTTTCTTCCTGCTTAAGAATTACACAATTAGATATGTGATTTAATTAGGTTCTGTTAAGTGCCATGAGAATAACATATCTGTCTGTCAACTGGAAAAAAATAACAATTTAAATATATATATTTTGAAATTTAATCAATGTATTATTAACTTATAAAGTCTAATGCCAAAAAAACAGGAGATTTTCTTTACTACTTCTAAGGATAGTCAGAAAATTAAAGGAATGGATTATATTCAGAAGTATGGAAGGTTAAAATCATGAAAGAGAATTATGTCAACCTAGCTTCCTATTGCTTAAATACAAAGAAAATCTTTAACGTCTTGAATACAATTGGGTTATCTACAACTGAACATTATTTGTGTGTGTGTGTATGATTTTATGCATATATTTTATACAAAACACTTTTTAACATAAGCAATTGTTATGTCTGGAAGATAATAATTGAAAAACAAATTACCTTGAATTAAATTACCACCTAATTTTAAGAGGAAGTAAATTAAATCGTTCTTATTTCACTAAGAATTATGTATTCTAAAAAGAATATAAAACAACTTTCCGAATGCTTTTTATAGAATAAATTGCAAGCACTTCTTTATTTATTTTTATTTTTTTCTTTAAAGCACAACCTCACTGCAAAGTGAATAATTATAAAGGTTTTTGAGTTATTAACAAAGTACTGGAATTTTCTTGTGCAATAAAATTTAGGATTTAATTTCTATCAGTCAAACTATGGAGTGGAATATATTTCAGTAAAATGTCTATAACTTTTAAAATGATTTTACTTTGAATAAAATAGTTCTTTCTATGTTATATGTGATCATAACAAATTAATATGACGTAGTAATAATTTTCCTTCTTAACATTAGTGAAAACTTTGTGCTTATCTAAAACTGATTAGTTATCTAAGTAAAAATAATTACACTGAGAAATCTAGTTGAGGCAAAGTCAGTATTCACCAAGACAAATGGTTATTTATTAGAAAAATGGTTCTAAGGAGCAAGAACAAATATTAAAGCACATCATACTAACATTCAGCAGACAAAAGCTTGTTGAGAATTCAAGATATTAGCACCAGAATGCATGTACTTGTGACATTTTGACATCTGTGCAAATCTCATCCATCCTTACCAACAGCTGAAGTCTATTTTTTATGCAATACTATTTGATCTTCAGGATCTTTTTATTTTTATCAGGAAAGTATGTGAAAGGGAAATGGGACTATAAAAGAAATTCCTAGCAGTACACCCATGCAACTGATCCAGAAACTGCCCTCCGGTAACAAATGAGAGGAAGAAAGACTCTGGAATCAGATAAACAAGACTTATTTGGGGTTTCACTGGGGATACATGATCCTTAGGCATCTCTTACCTGTGAATACTGAAACCTGGCTGGGAACAAAACCTTCAGGATCTAACACCAAATTGCAGGAGTCAAAGCCAGGATTAACATACAAACACAGCGTAAACTGTGCCTGCAACTTTGAACTGTACCCCAAAAGAGTAGCTTAGAATGGAAACAGAGTACGTTGAAATGCCTACTTGGATAAACAATGGTGACACATTCATATAGGTAAATTTGAAAGTCCAATTCCTTGACAACTAAACAATGGCAAGGCAGTCATCTGCCATATTCCTCTTCAGTGCACAGCCCATTATTCAAAATCCAGTTCTTTACCAAATGCTTGTTTGACACAATCTAGAGGTGACTGGAATAAAAGCTTAGGTTAATTTACTGGTTGTGTTTAAAGCCTGGTATACTGAGTAGAAAAAGAAAGTTATTATTACCCGATAATGTGCTGTATCTCCAGTGAATACTCTTCTTTAACACATAAGACTCCTATTTCTGAAAAGCACATGCACAGGCCAACCTGACTTTTAGCTGTGATAGTTTCTTATTCATTTTTCAGAAATTCTTTTTTTCATATATATATAGTAGCAGAAATAGTGACATTCTAGTTTGCAATTAAATGCATTCCTGTTGTTACAGAATATGTAAGTGCATTTAACTGATGTTTTCAATGGACGGTTTTCCACTGATGTCAATGTCATTTGACAGAAGAGTGTAGCACTGTGTATCTATCTTTTAGAATTGTGCCATTAACCTGTATGTGCAAATAAAGTTCATTTGGGAATACAGATGACCTAGAAATACTGTAAGAAAAAACTCATTTTAAAATGTTCATTAAAATTGTTGAAAAAATTCAGTTCCATTTCTTCTTAAATTTAGGTCTAACCATATGTTAAGTGAGATTGAACAATCTTATGTTGTTGGCTTTTTCTGTCACAAAGTAATAGAAGGAATATTTATTTGTAGGAGAAGGAATATTCTGTCTAGTGGTTATAGTGAAAAAAAAAACACAAAGTCAATGAGAAATCTCCTACATATGGTTAAAATGCTGCCACAACAAAAGCACCAACAAAAGTCTCTTGATCTGATGCAAGTTACTTGGATAACAGAAACAGATAATTCATCACTGGGACTATATGAATTTGGGAAGACTTTAGTCTTCTTCTTCTTGGGCTGATATGTGAATCCAGCAAATCTCTCCAATGATAGCAACACTCAAGAGAATTCCTGTGCACTGAATTGGGACAGCTGGGACTCTTTTATTACATTTTTCTGACAATAAGTGAAATTACACCTCTGCTCACCTGCATCTCACAGATGCAAGGATGATTCTTCATCTTTATTCCCTGATTTAGGCTTGTAATGCTACCATGAAGGCATGTTGTTTAAGGATTTGGCACAAAATGAGAAATGCTAACTAAACTAGCGCTTAACACTTCTTCACTGTTTGCAAACTGATTGCTCCCCCTGTCTTTTATACGGCTGTAGTTTCACTGCTTAACATAAAATTCAGCTGTGCCTCCAGTTGCAAGCTTAACAAAAGATCATTCTGTAGAAGATATTCAATTAAATATGATGATTCTTATCAGTAAATTATATCAATTGTATTTCCTAAGTGTCTTTTGTTCTCCACAATTCAAGAAATGTTTTAAAAGAGTTATTTCTCTGAAAAGAACACACACTGATCTGAAAATGACCAGCTATTACACTAAACTAGAGAAATACTTCCATAAACTGTATTGTCTACTTCTTAAATAATACATTTGTTGCAAATGATCTTTTTCCATCTAATGTTATTTCATATATGCCTCTGTAGACAGCTTGTAAAAGAAACAAAATATTTGAACTTTTAAGTCCCAGACTGAGGATTTTATGTGGTTCATGATGTAAAATGCTGTTCAGCTTGCAATGTTAGATATTCAAAAATGCAGTGATTAAAAAAAATAATAAGAAGAAAAGAACTGGAGTTATGTATATATATCTATATCTATATATATATACAGTATATATATATATAGTTACTTAAATGAAAAATAATGACAGGAAGAAGGCTTACCCAGCAGTGTTAAAACACAAGCTAATATTGCTATCAGGGCTCCAGTGCTAAGTCCTGCAGGCAAGATGTATGCCTCTGCATTGCATGTCTGAGCATTACCATCTGCATCACAATCACAGACTCTTATGGTGAGAGTATTAGTGCTACTAAGTGAAGGTGATCCACTGTCCACAATGAATATTGGTAAGTAGAAAACAGATTGTTCCTGTCTTCGGAAACCATTTCTTCTCGTTAATACAGTTGCAGTGTTATCTAGGTGAAGGAATAAAAGGATAAAAGTAAAATACTTGATCTTACTAGAATATAAATAATATAGACTTTCACTCAAAAGAATTTAGAAGCACATTCATATTATTTCAACGAGCTTATATTTCCTGGTCATACATTTATTTATCTACAGAGGTAGGATCAGCTGAAAATTCAAGTTCAACTAAACATAAATTTTTCTGTTTTTCATGAAAGACTGTTTCAAAATTGCATAAGTCTATTTGGTTTTAGTATGCTCACATTTCCATTGTCTTGATGTTTAGTAGAAGATGCGATTGTCATAAAGGAGAAGAAAAAAAGTCACACTTCAATAATTAGATTAAGTGTTTGCATTTATTTCATGTCTAATTTCCAAAGTTCCAAAGTTCTACAACTACTTGCAGTATAGATAGCATGGAAGTCATAAGCATATTCATAGGTGAGTAGATTCTGAAGACCAATGATTGATTTTTTTCAAAATGTAAAAAAGAAATTATCCAATTGGCGCACAAATACAGGTAATGTCACATATAATAAAGACATGCACTTGTTTTCCATGTCAGCCAAAATTCAACAAGTTGATTAATATAATGAATCTGAAATGTGTGCTGCAGTGCTGCTCTGAGCTGGATGACTAAAAAGTCTGTGTGTTCCAGAAAAGATTTGCAAAACTCACTGTGTTCAATACAGGTTGATCGCTCCTGAGAGGTAGGGAGATACATCTCCTAGAAATGTATAGAAAAGGTTGGTCGGTCGGTCTGTCTATCTATCATCTAGCTATCTGTCTTTCTATAGATAGATACATTGATAGTCTGGTAGAGGTAACTCATTGTGTCATCTATTATGACCTTTCTGGAAAACCATACAAACATTTCTTCATATAGAACCATATGTGATATGTATAAAACTAATGTCAGAAGAGGCAACTGCTGCACTGTTTTGTAACTCCACTGATTTTACCTATTTTAGAAGGATCTATTATATATATGTTCTATATATATATATGTTCTCATATATATATGTTGTTTGAAAAAGGGACTGTCTTTTTATTGAATACTTTACAGGACTTGTTACAGTGTCAGATTTCTAGAAATGTATTATTTTGATCATTATTTACAGTTCTTTGTTTCAAACTGTAAGCTTCTCGTATGAAGAACATTATGTATATCAGTAACTACATGCAAGAAAAGGCAATAAACAGCTGCACGAGAGATCTTTTTTAGGTCACATGTACATAGTGAAAATTCTTTGAAGTCTGTACAAACATTGCTCTTTAGTCCACCATCTGTCTCTTTTGTCAATAAAAATGACTTTGCAACTTTGGTTAGTACTGGTACATTAAAGAGCAGTGCAAGTGCTATTCGTGCTATTCATTAGTGTTGGTCCAAAAGTAATACATTCTATTTTATTTTGTTGGCCCACAACATCAGAGGGAAATGTTGGTGGTATGGCAGTAGATGTTGAGCCTTCCCACCAATATTCTGTTACATTTTGTTGCCATACAACATATGGCAACAGAGGGGCAGTGCAACAAAATGCTGTCTGACTTGAAAGCGTGTATGAATTGAATTCCTTCATGTGGAAAAAAAAAAGGCACCCACTGACTTGCTGAACATTTATGGAAACCAAACAGAGGATGTGAGCATAGTTGAGAGAGTGTGAGGTGTGTTTCAGCAGTGGCCACAGCAACAGTTGCTCACCACTGCTGGTGCCAATTTTTACAGACGACACACACAGGCTCTTGTTCATCACTGGCAAAAATGCATAGCTAATGGTGGTGACTGTGTTGAGAAATAGTTTTCAGTATCTGAAAATATATTCTATCAGATAATTTTATTGTGCTCTTTGTACTGGTTGTATTTTCCGTGGAAATAAATAGGAGGAATTACGTTCAGAGTGACGTGTAGTTCTACTTGCCTCAGCTCATAGCTAAACTGACTCATAACCAGCTGCTATACTATGAAGTGCAATAAGAGCACTAATTAGAAGCATGTTTTCAGATATTTTAACTAATAGAAATGTGATGTCCATGGGAGTCTTTTCATAAGTCTGTGGAGAAATGTTAGTAAGAAGTCTGTGTAAATACTGCAGGCAGCTTCCATTTTCAAAATTATTCCTCAGTAGATGGTATACCTATTGAAAATATGTGTTTTTTTGTTTGTTTGTTTTGTTTTATTATTTATTTATTTAAACCAACCCTGTGCACTTATTTTTTATGCCTTGAGTTATTTTAATAAAACATGAATTCCTGGACATTTTTCAGTTAATGCCCCAAGGTAAAGTCTAGACAAAAGCGTATAAATACAGGGGAAAATGTGAAAAGAGTGACTTCTGGAAAAAAAAATGAAGCTCGTTTTTGGCTCAAGGCTTTAAATGATGCAGACAACAGCTTTATTCCCTTGACAGATAGCCTAAATATAGAATTAATTTAGGGGCTGATTCTACTTTAATTTACATTCTTACCAGAATAGAAGTTTATGTAGGCCATAATCAGCACAATATATTCAAAACAGAAGGTGTTAAATGTGAATATTTACTCAAACAAAAAAGGTTCTGTTGCCTTTATATTCTTACCTTTGTTGTCCTGAAGCGTAAAATTATGGTTATTTGCTGCTTCTGCTGTTAAACTGAAGTAGAACTGATGACCATTTGGTGGATCATCTTTATCAATTGCACTGATTTTCTGGATGATCTGTTTTGAGATACATAGGTGTTCAATTGTTTGGCACGTGAAGGAACATAAATACATGCACATTATATAAACTCTCTATTACCTACTGAAGAGTCAAGTCTCTCTTGAATCTTGTTTACATTATGTTTTAGCTTTCTAAACTCCCAAGGAGGTATAGATACTATTATTAACTGAAATATGACTTTTCATTACTTTCCCAGTACTTGAAATTTATTCAATAAAAGTAATGCTGTGCAGGACCTCAAGATAATTAGGTCCTGTCATTCATCGGTGTTTAAAGTATAAACTCTGAAGTAGTGGAAGAAGCGCTTCTCAGTATCCAGAACATAGCCTTCTTGTAGTTATCAGTTGTTGTAATCAATATTGCACTGTAATATTTTGCAAATAAGAGATAATGATTTTGATTATTTCTATGCACTTTTTTATTTTAAAGAGAAAAAAAAAAAAAAAAATGAAAAGAAAAACAATAAATCCTAAGTATAATAATAGGGTTTTTTTTCCTTTTTTTCACTTTTTAAATTTTGTTTTGTAAAATTCAGTCAAAAACTCTAAGAAAAGATTTTAATATTGCTTACAATCCTTAAAGGAATAAATATTAACATACAAGAGTTCTGACTGGACCACAGGGACGAGAAGCCAATGTGCCAATAGAACATTCTTAACCTATTCCTGTGTTTCTATTGAATGTGAGCTAACAAATGTAGGGTTTTTCTTCTGTTGAGAACTTAAATTTTGCTGTACTTTTGAGATGTATAATAAACAACATCTGCCACAGTAAGGAAAATATTCTGGAAGAAGGCACAGAAGTGTAAAGAATCCCAATGAGTATGTGGGATCTGTGTCAGTGAGACATCTACTAGCACTCTGGGAGAGGGAAAGGAGAATTAGATGTCTTATGAGTTAAAATGGAAAACTTAAAATGTGACAGACCAAGGATAAACAGCATCAGAGTCTAGGACTATGAGGAATTTCATAAAGTTAGTTGAATCTAGGACTATTTCGAAGTTATGTTAGGAATTAAAAACACTAGAGATCTTGCTAGGAATATATCTCTCTTCTGAAATTCATACCTTATGGTCCATACCTCCTAAGAAAAATAAAAGTGTATATTCATTTTAGGAAAGATAGGAATTTTACCTTTGAACAAGGTCAGTGCTGAGACCACTTCCCAGTAAAATTATGAGGAAGTAATCATTCCTAACATTATTTAAAACACAATGAGCTTAGCCAAATATGCTAGCTATGCTGTAAGGAAATTAAAACTTTTAAGACTACATAGAATATGTCATTTTTACAACTTCATTTTTCTCTTCAGTCATAGAATAGAATCACAGAATGTCTTGGGTTGGAAGGGACTTCAAGGGTCATTAAGTTACAACCCTCTTGCTGCAGGTAGGGTTGCCAACCACTACATCAAGCACTAGCTCATCTTTCCCAGGGCCCCATCCAACCTGGTTTTGAACACCTCCAGGGACAGGTCATCCACAGACTCTCCGGGAAACCTGTTCCGGCACCTCACCGCCCTCTCAGTGAAAAATTTCCCCCTGACATCGAATCAAAATCTTTCCTCCCTTAGTTTAAAAATATTCCTCCTTGTCCTATCACTATCAAGACATGTAAAAAGTTGATTTTGCTCCTGTTTATAATCTTTTTGTAAATATTGAAGGGCCGTAAGCTGCAGGCTGAACAAGTCCAGCTCCTGTCTTTATAGGATAAGTGTTCCAGCCCTCTGATCATCTTCATGGTCCTCCTCTGGACCCTCTGAAAAAGATTTACATCCTTGTACTCCAGATGGGGCCTCATGAGGGCAGAGTAGAGAGGACAATTACCTCCCTCACCCTGTGGCCGACCCTCTTCTGATGCAGCCCAGAATACTGTTGGCTTTTCAGGCTGCAAGTGCACACTACTGGCTAATGTTAAGTTTTTCATCTACCAGGAACTCTATTTCTTTCTCAACAGGGCTACTCTCAGGGACTTCTTATTCCAGTTTGTGTACATATCTGGGATTACCCCAGCCCAAGTGTAATACATTGCACTTTGCTTTGTTGAACCCAGGGGCCCACCTTTTGGGTTTATCAAGGTCCCTCTGAATGGCATCCATTCCTTCTGCCTTATCAACTACATCACTCAGCTTGATGTCATCCGCAAAATGCTGAGGGTGCACTCAACCCCATCATCTGTGTCACTGATAAAGATGTTAAAGAGTACTAGTTCAAGACTAACCCATGAGGGACACCGGTCGTCACCTGCCTTCACCTGGACATAGAGCTATTGACCACAACATTTTGCTGCGACCTTCCAATTCCTTATCCACCCTTCCTCGTCCACCATTCTACTCCCAGGTAGGGTGAAAATTTTAGGACTTAAGGAAAATAAGCTTGTGTTGTACATCAAAGCATCATTTTTACTGCCATAAGTTGATTCTATTTCATCTTAAAGCTGTCAGGCTTTCAAAATAAATTACTGCCTATCTGATAAAAATAAACAGAAAAAGTATCAAGAGCTATACCTGGCCAGGTTGAGCATTTTCACAGACAGTTGTCTCATATTCCATGGCAAACTCAGGGGCATTGTCATTGATGTCAAGGATAGTTATGGCTACATATCCTCTCCCAATCTGTACTGGATTCTCTAATAAAAAAAAAAAAATAAAAATAATAATAATAAAAAAAAATTAATTAAGTAGAACTCTATGAGAATTTTCTTTGGGTCAGTATGTTTGTCATTTCCATTGTTTTGCATATGCTTGCCAAATCAATTACAAACCCTCTTAGAAAGCTAAGGAAAGATCTTAGCTTAATCTTCCGGACCAAATTAAAATAATGTTTGTGTTTTTCAGTAGTGTCAATGAAATCAAGATTTTATTTTCAAGGATAATTTGAAAATCTAACTCATTAATCAAAGCATTGATTTGTATCATATGGAAGGATAATAGTAAATAATATACAACCATCAGCAAGGGTACACAGTGAGACAAAACAGCACTATTCGTATCAGGAATAGCCCAGTTATTATGCGTGAAGGTAATCTATGTTAAATTCAAATTAAGAAGTCAAAAACAGAATTCTTTCAGCTATGTAAATCAAACCAACAAACAATCAAAAAATAAACAAACGTGGGGGAAGAATTTGTATTTCCAAGCAAATCCCACAGTATGTAATGTCTACATAGAACTATACCTTTCAACAGTGTTATTAATTGATGTATACTTCTATCTAAAATGTGATTTTGTGCAAGACCTAATGTCACCATTTAGTCTCAAACAGTAGATAGTTGGTGGATGAACCTCAAACAGTATATATTTAGTAGAATAAAGAAAATGAACATTTGTGTACATTGTATCCATTTGTTACACAAAACTTCTGACTTGGAGAGACTACATTACTGTTATTATTTTTACCACTGTTTTTTCTATTAGTGATGTAGCAGGACAGAATAAAAAACTGTACAAACATTAAAAGATGTATCTATCCGTTTTAGTGTATTACAGACAGATTTTATTAAACATTAGAAACTTCATAGATTACGTCTTTTTTTTTCTTCTTCTTTTTTTTTCTTTTCTTTTTGTTCCACATGTGAAATATAGAGCAATTTTGACCCCAACTTTCCCCTCTACTGAAATAAAAAGGACCTACTTTGGGACAAACATGAGCCAATGAGTTATACTGGTTGCACTTCTGTGATAACATATTTAAGAAAAGATACACAGATGCACAGTAGCTGGGAAATGAGGGAGAAAATGTGAAAGAAACAGCCCTGCAAACACCAGTGAAAAAGGGGAGTGGGACAAGAGAGTGAGGATGAAAGAGCAACAGAGACATAGTGTTATGGACTGATAGCAAACACCCAAGGCCAAACCAGGTAGCCCAATAGACTAGTAATAAGAACTACATTTAAACAAAGAAATTATTCAAATATAAAGGCACATAAATTTTTTCACAGAATGTATTCAGAGCTGAACACATTTACACTTAACAGTTCTGTTAACAGAATTCTTGTACACATTTAAAGAGTTTGATTCTTCATCACTTTTTTCATTACTCAAAAAAAAAACCCATCAAGTACAAAATATCCTTCAATATCTTACCTAACAGTGAGGATGGCACATAAGTATTCACATGTTCTTCATCCTTTTTAAGAGTGCTGTGGTAGACCAACAGCAATCAATTCTGAGTGTCACAACTAAGAGGGGCTAATTGATATAATGTATTCCATATTACTTTTGTTCTAATGGAATTTAGTGTGAGATTTCTGATAGCTAATTTCATTTTCCTTTGTACTTGTTTGTCTAAAGTTAAAAGTCTACAGAAGGTGTGGAAAAAGAATTCTTAATCTGTTGTATTTCTGTGGGTTTTTTTATTACAAAAGTGTCTTTTACACTGAGTGAGAAGTGTTATTTTGTCTGTCATGGTTTTAAGCACTGTAAGACTTTCACTTGGCGCAGCTGATCCCAACTAAATCTGAAGTTTTGCACATAAGCAGCTCATACAATCTTTTAATTATTACTTACGACTCTCCATGGCCAAGACTGTAATGTTATGAATGGCATTAGTTTCCCTGTCCAAAGACTTGGCAGTTGTAATGACTCCACTGTTGGCATCAATATTGAAATACCTCTCGAGGTCTGTGTTTCGATCTATTGAGTACCTAGGTAAAGGATGAAAGAAAACTTTTGATTTATGTTCAATTATAGCTTGTAAAAATGTTTCATTGATTTCTCATTAGAAAGACAGAGTTTCCATTGTTTCCTCATATTGAGCTTGGCTTTGTCCATTTTCTCCAAGGTTTTAAAAGAAGCAGAGCTGTAAGTAAACACAAGAGCAAGCAGGCTAGTCAATGAATGACCTGTCCTGATCATGGCAGGCTCTGTTACCTCAAGTGAAGTTGTAAGAGTTCCCCCTTTCTTCCTCGCTGTCATAATGGAGATATTCACTTACTCATGGAATATTATCCTCCTGAGGCCAAACTAAAGAGAAAGTGAGTTGGAAGTTTTCTACACAGATGTATCAGCCAGGCTTTCAAAAAAAAAAAAAAAAAAAAAAAAAAAGAGGATGGAGAGTAGATCAAGAGATTGTATGTCATCACCATCAGCTCCCAGCACTTTGCTGTCTTTAGACAAACTTAAGTTCATGCCCGATATTCTTTGGCTTAACATATTTTTTGTTTTCAAACTTGTTTTAGGAAGGGGAAATGAGCTTCTTAGTAAACAGAAAACAGCATGAGTGAAAAGGTCAGATTGCCTGTGGGTGTTTTGCTTATATCCTTTCTGAGAGAAAAAGACAGTTGATTAGGCAGTATTAGATTTACAGCTGGAATATTTTTGACATTCAATTTAATATTGGGTCAGAATCTTGCACTGTCATTTAGATCAAGATGAATTAAAATGTCTGAGTAAGACCAAGTGTGTTCGTTACAATTACTGTCACACTGACAACATATTAGATTATTGATATAGCATTAATCAAAACCTTTTAACAGTGTGGAAGGAAAGAATTATGGACAATAGTGCAAAACCAGGACTTTCCAGACATAATGATAATTTGGCATGATATGTTTGTTCTGTGTTGAAATACACCAGCTTCTACTCTGTATTGTATTATGGGCTTCTATATAACCATTTTGGCTTCAAAATCTTTATAACAGAGACCTGTTATGAATTTAGCATTGCTTTTCTGTATTATCTCACAGTAAGAGAAAGACATAAAGACTTTAATAAATACAATAATAGAAGTTTTCATGAATTGAGGCTCTCCCTTTTTCACTCTTTTTTTCCTTTTAGAGTCAACTTGAACTGTACTTCAATTTTTATTTTCTTTCATGCCAGTATTGTTGTTTATTTGGTCAGCTGCATTCTTCAGCTGCTTTGTTCTTGTCAAGCTTTCCCTAGAAACTCTCTCTGCCACCTCTGCAAAGTAGCCAGTTGTGGCAGGTTCAATCTCCTGTCAGCGCTTAGGTTTCCTAATTATTAACACTATTACTCTGCAAATTGAAAATTCAAAGGTCTTTTTTACAACATTGTAAGAAATTGTAGAGAGAGAGAGAGAGAGAGAGAGAGAGGAGAAGAAAGAAAAGGAGAGAGAAAAGCGAGAAAGAGAGAAGCATAAAGAAAAAGCACAAAATCGATAAAAGAAAGAAACTAAAAGGAAGGAAGAGAAGAAGGAAGGGAGGAAGGAAGGGAGATGGAAGAAGGGAAAGATTGTGAGAGCCTAAGGAAACATGTTATACAAATTAAACAACAAATTGACAGATTGTTATGAAACAAGAATCAAAAATATTTTTTATAAATAAGAACCAAGCAGTTTTGTTTAACCCTTGCTTACAAGTATTGTACCCATACTCAAAAATGAAAAAAATATTTTAAACACTTTCAATACTTTAATTCCTTACAGCCATTAAAACTTGAAAGTCTTTGAACTGCAGGAGTTTTAAACACTTTATTTAATCTAGTTCAAACATCAATAATTCTTGGGTCCATATGAAATAACCTCTCATTTTCAAACTATTTTTCCTTTTCCTCTTCATTTTCCTTTTCCTCTTCATTTTCCTTTTCCTTTTCCTTTCCTTTTTTTTATTTTTTTTTTATTTTTTTTTTGTATTGTCAAAGTTTTAAGCATATTTGATCCATTATTTGCAACCTTTTTTGAATTGTAACAAATAAAAATTTTTAATCTATCCATATTCCAACATTTGGAATTATGAGTGCTTATTTACAGATTAAAAAAATAAAACTTTTTAAATTGATCATGAAAAGCTTTATGCTTTAACCCCCTTTAACAGATTCTTCTTTTAGGAGAGTCTGGTCTATTATGTACATCACAACAGATGCAGCACATCTCTATATAGTTTGTCAGTGCATCTGACAACATATATAGCAAGTTCACAAGGATATAGAGAAACACTCACTATTAATCATTTTCATCTCCTTCAAATTCCAAACAGCTTTGAAACAGAAGAAATCTTCCAGATGTCAGTTAAACTGATGATATAACAGCTTTTTATGATTGAATTGTTAAAACAAAACAAAACAAAACCAAAAATTGTTTAACAGGGTCAATAAATTCATCCTTAGATTTTCACAGGAGTCAAAATCATACAGAGCATGGACTCAATTTATGGAACTGGATTTGATCCTCTCTACACAGTTCTGCAAAACTATATTATATACCACATGCTAACATCCATGGCAAAAAATCATCACAGCAGAGAAAGATCATCACAGATAAATTTCACAAGTAAATCCATGCCAACTCATCCATCTAGGATTTGTTTATTCATGATACGAAGCAGCTATTTTGAATCTGCTGAAAATATATGTAATGAAAGAAAGGAGAGAACTTGTATCACCTCTAGGAGTAAAACATATGCTTTACTTTTACAATTAGAATTCCTGCCTCAAAAATAATGGAGCTGTCAGTTTCACAAGGTCATATTCTATACATGAAAGTAAAACTTTAGCATCACCAAAAAAGATGACATCCCGATGTGATGTTTTCTACTCTGCCCTAAACAAACAATAACAAAAGCAAAGGAAACTTGGTACTAAATTTCAACTGCATTATGGTCTTCCTGCTACAGCTATTTATGTCCTCAGAATTCCTGAGTCACAGTACTACCCTACAGATCCTACAGATCCTTCCTATGTTCCTTTGACAATATTACTACTATGCATAACAGGAGCAACAAGTAACTCATTAGTGTTTTAATTCAGGTGATGAGTCTTTTCCTCTGAGATTTTTTTTCCCCCTCAAATATAGTGAAATATAAAATCAAAGTTTGGTTTTTTTTTAATTATTATTATTATTATTATTATTTTCCTGACAGGTTCCTTATGCTCTTTGACATTACGTTATGAAGATCTACAAGTTCTTCATAAGCCAGACAAAAGAAGAACATCTTCAAGATCGTCATGTGTCTATACTGTTCATATATGTTTCTATTTCAATTGAAGATATTTATCTGTAGCACAACTTACAAAAGCCAGAAGACTATTGCCTGACAAGTACAGGATGTCTTACCCTATCCATTTGTCTCACATACAGAGTTTATTGCTATATATTTTTCTTGTGAGTTCTCGGTTGTGCTTTGCCATGTAAAAGAGTCTGAGTGCTACTACATTCTTGTGTATACCGCAATCAGAAAATGAAAAGAGAGAGAGAGAGAGATCTTGGCTGTAACTAAACAAACACAACATAATTGTTTACAGATTATGACACATTCTTCCTAAATTTACAATTTACAGGTAATATAACAAGAATTATTTTTGTTTTAGAATCATGAATTTATATCTTTGCTAATTTATTTATTTATTTTTCTTACTGACTTTCTTTACAGAGACTTAAATATATTATTTTTTAAAATCTTATCAATTAATGTGTATAAAACTAAAAATATGCAAAGACTATCTCTGTCTCCTTCTGGAAGGAAAAAAAAAATACTGCTTTCAATGTAAGCAAATAATCTCCCACTGCAAAAAACAAACAAACAAAAGAACAGCATCAAAACAAAGGCTAAATAAATACGCAATTAAGAAGTCTTCTAAGTTACATCACAAAGGATTTAAATTGGATGTTAGAAAGAACTTCTTCATGGAGAGGGGGAGTCAAGCATTGGAACCGGCTACCCACGGAAGTGATAAGTTCTGAAACCTAGAGGTGATAAGTTCTGAAACCTAGAGGTATTTAAGGGATGTGTGGACGTGACACTAAGGAGCATTAAGGAGGTTTAGTGATGTGAATCAATACATCAGGTTGACGGTTGGACTTGGTAATCTTCAGTCTTTTCCAACCTAAGTAATTATATCATTCTATAATTCTAATTACCTGACTGGACTATTTGAGGCATCTGGATCATGGGCAGCAACAGTTCCAATGATAGTGCCGATTTTTGCTGCTTCAGACACCACCATGGAGTATAAACGTGAAGTAAACACAGGTGGCTCATCAACATCTTCTACGATTATCTTCACTGTTGTCATGTCGCTGAAGGGTCCCAGACTTAGGAAGCGAGGATCAACATTTATATTGGCTGCTTCTATCCTCAGGGTATAGCTTGTTTTAGCTTCAAAATCCAACTCCTATACAGAAAAAATTATTTTAAAATTGTATTACCCCATAACGTTGCAGCAAAACTCACAACAGTCAGAAAGTAAAATGAGTTTTGCCATCTTTACCCAAACAGTACTTTTGATTGACAGAGGATAGTATATGGCTCTTCTTTCAGTTTTCTCCAACCGCTGTGTTTGCAGTGTCTTGCATAATCTGATTAAACATAACTCAAATGACAATGAGGTAATCATAAGATACTAAAGTTATTTTTCATTACTGCATTAGTGTTGTTAAAAAAATGTTTAATTGCCTAAATGTAACAAACAAACAAACAAACAAAGTGGAAGATAATAGATTTGTGAATATTTCCATGTTTCATTTTGTTGTAGAAAAGTAGGATTTTTCAAGAACACCCTTTAGTTCCACTGAAATTCATTCTAGTGAGTGTTCCTCAATGATGTAATGGGAAAGATAAATTTGTAAATTCTACCTTGTGAATGAAACAAGATTTCTCTGAGTTAGTAGTAAAACATTCTGTGACTTCAATGGGAATCAAATATTCCTTCATCATTTCATTGCTGTGAATGAATTATTTTTGTCTTACTAATATTTTCTGATAAGTATCAAATACAATGTGCCATAGTAACCAGACATTAGAAATATATTATTCACTGCTGAAAACACCTCACTGAAAACACCTTATTTTGATTTATTTTGTTTTTGCACATCATTGACATTAATTATTGACTATTTCTTGAAATTCTGTACAAATCTGTAGAGATAATGTAGGAATTTATCAAACTACTTTGTATATATGACAAGATTTTTTACTTAGAAGAAACTTGAAGATTGTTTGTTTTATTTATTAAACAAAATCTTTATAATTTGTTTCCACCTTTATTCCACTTTTACTTTCTTCAATTAATTTAGTTTCCTTTGTAATTAATGCTACATTAGAATTTCAAAACTATCCTCCAGCACTCATGCGATAACTGTGGTCTAGAAAAAAGTATCATTACAAAATTGTTTCAGAAACAAAAAATCTTTTACCTCACGGACACTGGAGGAAATTATTGAAGAAAAGCATCATATTAATATTAAAAGAATTTACTTTGCATCTGGATTCTTAGATTGTCAGTTTGCATCAAATGCCTAGCTTAATATTTCTTTGCAATTCCAAATTAAGAACAGAAACAGAAGATCCAAGCATTTCAAAACTGCAGTTTGACTAGTCTACTGCCTTTTCAAACTAGATTTCCAAGTGTATAAAACAGATTAAAAAAGGGTTTCAACAGTTCTGATCCTGAACAAATCATAAATATCATAAATGGGCCTGAAAAATAATCTGACAGCATCTGCAAATATTCCTGTACTCATTCAGAGGAGCAGCAGAGGTGAAATACACATCTGTTGACCTACAAATGTGAGGGTCTAAGTTTTCCATCAAGTTACAGTAAAATAAATCCCAAATGAGCATCTTAAAGTCTGCGATTAAGCTGGCATTACAATACAGCTATAAACAGCCTGGATTTAGAAATGAAAAATAAATTGCAACACATCACACTTGGAAACTTTTATAAACTTCATGTGGCAGCAAAAATCTTTTCTGAACAGGAATGTATATGATCTTCATCTTCATGTATATGATCTCCTGCACTAAGTATTCAGTTCTCCAAAAAGTGTTATGCCACAAAAGAAGGGCTACCTGAATATTGGGCAATACAGTTGATACAACTGGATACTGGTCAGTCTGTATTGCTACTGACATTGTTTTAAATCTTAATCTTGGCTTTATATTTCAAATTTCAAAATATGAGCCATGGAACACACCTCACAGCCACAATGCAAATATAATATGATGTAGGCACTGGCACAGGCTGCCTGGAGAAATTGTGGATGCCCCATCCCTGAAGGAGTTCAAGTCCAAATTGGACTGGGACTAGGGCAGCCTGATCTGGTGGGTAGCCACCCTGCCTGCAGCAGTAGCTTGGGACTGAGTGGCTTTCAGATCCCTTCCAACTCAAGTATGATTCTATGTTAAGATGAAAAATCTCTCAAAAAACAATGCAAATGATATTGCCAGATGAACAGCAAGGATAGGGAGAAGACAGATACACATGGAAATATATATATACATTTTTTTTTCCTGTAGCGGTGTTGTATGGACTACAGAAATTATGACCTGAAGAGTGTCATTGACAAAAGTCTGATATTTGGTGAATAAAAAAGCAGAATTTTTTAACAAATTATATATTTCCATTCAATTCAGAATTCAGTTTTGGAAACTGATTAATTGGCTGATGGGTCAGTCTCAAGGGATTATAGTAAATGGGGTTATATTAGGTTGACAGTTAGTCTATTTGTTCAAATTAGTATGCATGTTGTACATGAGTCAGTAGTGTGCCCTGTCAGCCGAAAGTCTCAATTATACCCTGGGGCATCAGGCCCAGCACTTCCATCAGGTTAGGGGAAGGATTGTCCTGCTCTGCTCTGTGCTTTGTAGCCTCACATCAAGCACTGTATGCAGTTTGGGTGTCACAATATAAGAAGGGCGTAAAATTATTAGAGACTGTCCAAAGGAAGGCTGAAGAGACAATAAAGGGCCCAGAGGGCAATATGTATGAGGAGTGGCCAAGGTCCTTTGGCTTTTTAAGCCCAGAATAGAAGAGGCGGAGGGGAGGTTGAAGGGAGGCCCACAGCTTCTTAGGAGAGGAGTGAGGAGCAGCGTTGAGCTCTGCTCGTTGATGACAGAGACAAGATGTGAGGGAACTGCATGGAACTGTGACAGAGGAGGGGAAAGGTTCTGCACCTGAGGGTGGTGGGTATGGAACAGACTGCCCAGGGCAGTGGTCATGGTCCCAGGCTGCCAGAGTTCAAGAAGTGTTTAGGTGCTGCCCTCAGACACAGGGTTAGATTTTGGGATGGACTTGTGTATAGCCAAGAGCTGGCTTTGTTGATTCCCAGTTAGGGATACTCTATGATTCTATGATTCCCTCTGACATGGCAGACAGAAAATTCTGTGGCAACTTAATTTTCATTAGAAACCATTGGGCTTTAAAAAAATAAAAAATAGACATACAAGTGATTAGCCCAGTTTATACTGTACACTTTATAATGCTTATTTTCCTATTCAACTTATATTAATATGTACTATTGCACACCTTCTATTTTTAAACTTCCCATGATGCTTTGAGTAGCCCTATGTAACTGATTAATACTATAGAAAAGTTGAAACTTTGTTGTGACACCTAAATATTCTAAACTTGGGCACGTTCTCCACTGAATAAAAAGGAGGACCTATTGTTGTTAATTTCTGTTAAAAAGAAAACAAAAAACAAAAAACAAAGAACTATCCAGTGCATGCCAATTTATAAGGCAAAATAAGTAGTGATTTTTCTACTTAAATATTCCTACATACATCACATATCTTGTGATTCCAAGATTCAACACAATAGTATCACAAAACTTTTCCTACTCTGGGGATTATTATATTTTCAAGATGCTATTTTGGCTTTGAAGTTGCAAACACAGTAGAAGGTAAGGCTAACTTGTTTCCATTAATCACTGATATCTGTTAAAATCTGACTGCTTAAATTACAGCAATACTTAATCAAACATGGAATTAATGAAGATGGAGACAAGACAGCTTCTCATGACATGTCAACATCACTGTTATCTTAAGGAAAAGAAAAAATGATGAAAAAATTGAATTTGATACAAAGTATGTGTAGAAGATTATTAAACTAAGCACAATTATGAAGATATTATTTAAATGAAAATTTTGCACATGTTCTTATGTTTCTGTATTGATTTCAAAAGACTAAATTAGATCTTTAATGTTTTAATTAAAAATCATAAAATCATTTGTTTTCCATGTGGATATTTAACATAAGTTTGACATGCCCATTTAAACCATTATGTTTCATATATTTGAGTGGAATCTCGCATTAGTAGGGAATAAGGAGAATACATTCAATAGAAAAGATGAAAAACTAATGATGTTGATGCTGATTGCTTACTTAGGGCAATTTTTACCTTCTCTAAGTTAGCTATATAAATCTGAGAAAATTATCATATGTTGCTTACTGTAAGCAGAAGTACTTCTAGGGAAGAGATCACTACTTACTGTCTGTTTTTCACCAGACAGTAGAAAGTGAATCTCAATAACTGAAAGATGTAAACATCTGCTTTCAGTAATATGAATCCTACCCTTGAATTCCCCTATATCTGGTACCTAAAGCTGCTGACAGTTTACAAAAGTTGTAAAAGTTCTTTGTTAGTGGAAAACAAAGAAAAAAAATCTCATTTACTCATATGCATATATGTGATATTAAACCATTGCTGCTTAGAAGAGGTAGAAAATGTAAGGGCAAAGCTACACCATCACATGATATAGGGTTATAAATTGCAACACTACTATTTTCTCCTTAGTTCTTTACAGTAGAATTTACTTATAGTTTTTCCTCTGGGATGTGACAATGACCGTAAATCTGAAGTCATCATCCTCAGTCTACTCCAATAAGATACAAAGCTCAGATTCTATGATTCATACAAAAATACCAAGCTTTGATGCATATTCTAGTTTAGGAAAATAAACAAAATTTCTAAGACATGGTGAGTGTGCAAACTTTCTTGATCTGAAGGAAATCTTTCAACAAATCATGCACAATACAATGAAGATATTATGTACTACAGACTAAAAGACTGATCATATGAATTGAGATGTTCTCCATTTTTTTTGCTTTCTCTTAACAAGTTATTACTAATGTTTGTTATTTAGTAAGCAACTTTCAACTAGCCTGTGGACTACATTGTTATAATTCCCTTTTAAAAAAAAAAGGATAGATTCCAGTAATGGAGTACCAAGTTAGCAGCTTACAAATCACTACGTCACTGTGGAAAGCTGAAAAGATGATGTATACATCAGTTCTTCAGTACTGTGATTGGATCTGACAGCTTCGTTAATATCTGTGCATTAATGTTATCTGATTAGATCCTGCACAGGACTATTTACTGTTCTCTCAATTGC